CCGCTTTTTTCAGCCCCCCTCTCCCTCCCCACTTCTGGATTCAGTGCTTCTTTAAGTATCCTGAGTAGCTAGTCTGGTTTGACTGAAAAGTACTGTGTGTTTGTTGTGTGTCTGCATGTGTGATACCAACTGTTGAAGACTGCTTGATGTTAGATGAGGGCTTATGCTCAGAGCTGTTCTACAGTTGGCTCTCTGGCAGAATCTCTCCTCACCAATGACAATGATATCTCTGTGTGGGGGAGAGCCTGTTTTACAATATTACACTTGCCATGGCCTCAATTTTACTGATGGGGAATGATTATGATTTCATTTACGTTAATCAAATTCATGAATCACTCCATTCATGTCAATAGCATCAAAGAGCTATACAGACAAGTAAGAGTTCAGAATCAGGCTTCTGATGTTTAATCTGAAAGGATATCTGAATCACTTTATTAAAGATAGGTAGTGAAGGAAAGATCTCTGCTTTCTTTGCATTACTCAGTCATGCCATTAACATGAAACATCAAATAAAGAACTACAATGACAGCTGGCAATGTGTCACATGGGTTTTCTGTTTACCTCAGATATAGAAAGTACTCCTGAATTAATGAGATTTAGAATAATATTTCAAGTATGACGAAGTTACTGTATTAGGTATCCTTGCTCTTGGAAGTTGGCATTAATGTTTCAAAAATTTATTTCCTTCCTTTGTTTTTTTATGCCATTCTTACTTAAGTTGAATGCAAAAGATCTAAAACAATGTTTAAGTAAAACCTCAGAGACTGTGTTAAGTTTTATAGCCCTGTCCATAAAGAATATCATGTCTGGTAAATACAGAAGTATCAAAACAGTGATTGCAATTCATAAAGTTTGTTTTGTAGGTATCTCATAAAGCACTAACAAATCTTCATTCATTTCTAAAAAGTGAAAACCATGTTAATTTTCAAAAATATAGGCATTCTAAAACAATAAAAGGTTTTGTACTGGTGTCTGTCTCCTGCTCAGACAGAGAAATTGTGCAGGGGATGATGGGCCTTAATTTAGTCCTCACTGGTAAGTACCTCTAAGACTAAATATTCTTTAAATTGCACCCATTTAAATTACACTCAAGCTCCATGTAAATCTAAAAAAAAAAACAAAACAAAACTATAGGGGGAAAAATCATTCAAGAGGTCTAGCAAGCTATCAGAAAATTGTTCTATTATACTTCTGCAGGGTTTTTTTTCCATTTTTAAGTCAAAGAATTGTTGGCATTTGAGAACATTTTCTAGAAATCTGTTTGCTGTATTACAGACCCTAGAAACTATTACTGTCATACACACTCTTAGCTACACTACAAGCACATGCCCCAAGACACCAAATCAGAGAGTTGACGGGTTTATCAACAAACCAGGGCCAAAAGAAAGATGAAAGAATGGACCTCTTACTATGTTTTCTATGTGTCTCACTGACTGTTTCACTGAAAACTAAAAATCTGCCTGCACATCTTGCTTTTCTAATACAGTTGGAATAGCAAAAATATTTTCTCCCGAATTCCCAATGAAAGCTTTCTTTTCGCCCTGCTAGACCATGTGTTCAGTTTTATACCCTACACTTCCTCAGCATAAGAAAATTGTTGTATAGTGAAGCAATAAGATACTGTCTTCAGGCTGAATACGAATACTAGTTAAACCACTGGTGCCTTTTAAGAAAACCTTGATATAATTTCCACCCTTAGTAACTGTGGGAATTACACATTTTTTCTTGCCTTTGAGATAACACTGCTGTGTATTTCAATATGCACAGTTGGGCACATAGCTTAAATATAAGGCAACAGACTTTACCTATCCGTGCCAAAAAACAATTAGAAATCTCACTCCTTGTTTTTCAATAAACTAAAGTGAATAAGAAACTGAAGAAATATAGAACAGAGAAGTAACCTACCGTGGTTGTCTTTATCCGTCCTCCTGGTTGTGTACAGGTCCAGCCTGATTTATTGATTAGCAAATCACAGCCTTCTCCTTCTAAACATGGGAGCATTTCACACCACTGTTTTGTTTTGATAATTCGTGCTATGGAACAGAAAAGAAAAAAAAAACAAACACAACCAAAAACAATTGGCAAGAGAATTCATATTTCACTTATCTCTAAACACTTTCTCATTTGCGTTGTCTATTTTCATCATCTGATAATGGAGTCACAGGTTATGATGTAGACAGTCCTAGGCAATTTACAAAATTATTTACAACACCTGCTGTGCCAACAAATTTCATAATACAAAAAGAACTTAAAACCCAACAATAGCCCAAAGGAGAGCTCTGTTGTAAATCAAAAGAAGGTAAAAGTAAGTTAGCTAATTTTCTAATTCCATGCTCATTATAGTCAAGGAAATATTGTCAGGGTGGCTAACAACTGAATCCTTTGTGTTAGACTATAAACCTGAGCAGACACTCCTTCTCCTGAAGTGCTTACAGTGTAAATAGACATGAGACACACAGTGGAGAGATTAAAAATATAATAAACATTAGAGGTGGTCAACAAAATGACAACAATTGTGGAACTCTGTGATACTTGCAATGGTAGGGCCATAGAAAAAGGGGCAAAAACTAGGAACAAAAGAAGGACTGGTGTTGAATGAGGTAAAGGTTGGGAAACCATGGGGTAGGAAACAATGAGCAGAGGGAGAAGACTGGTACAAATATCCTTTTACCCTATAACTGCAAGGGAAAGGAAGTCTAGTAAGGAAGGTCCCTAACTGTCTGACAGGTAGTGTGTTGTGAGTTTTGTGGCTCCTCTTAACGCTTGTGCCTCTGGTAAGCTGGGTCTGCAAAATTTCCTCAAGTTCACACACTGCAAGTAGTCCTGGTACAACAGAGCTCTGACTGCGCTAAAGTAGATGCAGATGAGCTGCATGGAGATCTTTTCTTCAAGGCAGGGAGAAAGGGAGCTTCAATTCCTATAGACTTCTTTATGGATTATACTACTTCTTTTGATTTCACCTCTGTAATATCTGGGTTTCTTCTCATAGAATATTAAGTAATATGACTAATATCTAATATTTCGTTAGTCTTTCACTCTCCTTCTGCAGGCAAAATTGTGGAGTGAAGTGTTTGGGATACTTTTTATAAAATACATGTGCAGAGATGCACTCACTTGCATGGTGCCATGTATTCATAATAAACAAGGTAAGGTCCCCCAAACAATTCATCTTTTGTTCACATGGTAAGGTTCAGTGTCCACGGAAAATGGTACTCAGTTCCTTCAGAGATCACGTCAGCAATCCTGGGTTAGACTACAACAAATCTTCACCACCTCGATTTGTATGTAAGTATCCTAGGATTCAAGAGCAGAACAAGTTCCACAGACAGGAACACAGATTGTCTTCCTCTGTGTTGATGCTTGACACCAATACAAGCAGTATATCTTCAACCGTCATGAGCCCAACAAAAAGAGAACTACAGAAGAAATACTTTGCAACAAAAGCATACGAGAAGCTTATGATGCTCCCAATTAACTTTGGGTCCACAGAGCTTAAAAGTAGGCATTTATACACACTGTCAGTTGCAGCTCTTTATTCTCACCTGAACATGTAATTCAGTCTCCCTATGCCCCTGACTTCCTCTGTCTGGAACTGGCATTGGAATACAATTCCCAATGCCACCAGATCATGGCAAGAAATAAAAGTGTAATTTAAAGCCTTTTAATAAAATCCTTTCCAATATTTTGACATGAAACAAATCGTGTCCTCAGTCCTGATACAATTGTTGGTAAGCTCCAAGAATTTAACAAACACTGCTATCTTTCAGTGGAAACCCAGTCTGAAACTCATAGTAAGTTTTTCAATATAAAAAACACTTTAGCTCCCAAACGTCAACATAGGAATTTGCACTGTTCATTAGACTATATATATATATATGTATATATATATCTCACTGAAGGAATGATTCCCAAACAATTTTTGCAACTACAATTTTTTGAAGAAAATCCACTAAGCTTTTATAGCACATAATATACAGAAATCTGGAATTTGCTTGGGGTCCATAGGTACTGCTCTATAGAGAGCTGGATCATAACAATTTTTGAGGGTAACATCTCATTTCTAACAGGTAATAGCTTCATCCCTTCTGAGTGAAGGCGTGCATCCAGTTGCAGGTTTTACAGAAAAAGCTCTGTAAAAATATTAACACGAAACCTCATCCATTTGCAGGTGTATATTTTGCAATTCACATATCAAAATGGCTATTTCTAGCAATATTTCAACAATATGAAGGATCATTAAAAGACTGAATAGTCAGTTAAAACAAAAAATATGTGCTAGATTGCCTTTACTATCTCAGGTGGGATGTTTTCCTGGAAACATAATTTGAACTAATCTTTAAAAAAGTATTTCCCTCCTGTGTGAATTACTCTCAGTGTTTGCTTGGTTGTTATCTCAGAATTCAGCTACTGATAACATTACAAATATATGGAGTCCAGGCTCTGGGTATTGGCTATATCCACATGAATTTAGAAGGCACCAAGAGTATTTCACAGGACATGAAGTCTAAAACATTTCTGTATCAAGTGTATAGACTACCCTCCGCATTTAGGCCTCACGAATTGGAACAACTACATCTGTGGGGAAAAACTACTCAGCCCACATGGTTTAAAACAAATCAGTATCAAAACAGTTTATTAATTTACTAATGATACATAACCAGCAGCAGTGCAGGATCAATACCAGTAACACAAACCAGACACACACACACCCTCACCTCCCCCCGGTCTCTCCTCCACAGATCTTCACAGTTGTTTCATCCAGCTCTTCCTCCTGGCCCTGTTTTGTCTCACAAGCTGCATGAACCCACAGGCTCTCTCATTCCTGCACCTCCAGGCCCTGCTTTCCAAGCCATTTGCCACAAGCAAGCCAGGCAGGCACCCTCACACTCGGATATGAGCTGAGGTCTATCCAGTGGATGACCACACTGTTCAGTCAACACATACGGAGTCACAGTTGCAAAAGGGGGGGCATACTCATGTCATTGGCATTACATCTATTTTTGCATTTTCACTTTTCAGTTTGTCCATTACAGCAGCGTAGGACAGTGAAGCTAAATACATTACATAGGGAGTGAGCAAAGTATACAATGGTTTTATCAGCATAGTATCAAAGAATTTCTATCAGTAATTGAAACTGAGTTACACTAGCCAAAGCAAAGGAATACACTGTATTTCCTGCGGCGGTATAGTTGCCTTTTTACTGTGTATATTCACCAGGGGTGAAATCCAGCCCTCTGTAGACAAGACAGCAAAAAGCCTATCAGATTCTTCAAATCTGCTCCAAGCTCCATTATGAAGAATTAAGTGGCACTTAAATGATACATAGGCTTTGTGCAGACCTTCTGTAAAGAACTGAATTTCATCTTAAGAATCTGAGCTGACACTACTTTGCATCTCCCAAGAAGGGCTGTGCCCCTTCACTTAAACTGAAGTTAACAGGAACTGACAGTGCTCAACACAAGGTAGAATTGCTTTCCCTGGTAATACCATTTGAACTGGAGAACAACTGGAGTCTGTCCAAAGGTTTTTCATACAAACAGTTCTGAGGTGTTGCAGTCAAGCAACGAACACAACACCAAGCTACCCACCAAAGTGTTCTTCATTCTTTTATAAGACCAAGCAATTTGCAGTGGATTTTGAATTATCAGTAAAATAAATAAAGAGAAGTCTGTATTCCTGATCAGTATAGCCCAGTTTAAGACTGTTCAACTGATTAGTGCTTCAGAACACCACAGATTATTTTCTGTTAAATACCGCAACTAGAAATGTTTTGTCACTAAGCTTGTCACCTGGTTTAATGGTGTATATATACTTTCCTATAGAAAATCAGCTTTATTTTCTGTACTTTCTTTCCTCACATTCACTCTACACTCCGGCAGTTATCAATTACAGCATCTCTAGTTAATCTCATATCTGAAAATAAAAAACTTTTTGTGATAGCAAAAAAGTAAGATAAATCTTGTTCAGCAGCAGTAAATGCGAAAACTTACAGCCATATAAAATATGTCTGATTAAAACACTCAAATAGCTACAGCTTGTTTTCTCATATTTTGTTCAAAATATTGGAGAATGAACTTGGAAATAAAAGTAAGAAAATATTTTTCTTTTTCATCAAATAAGAATATTGATTAAAAAAGTATTTGTTTACTGAGACATGATTTCAGAATACATCGTTCTCCTATGCATAAAAGGTGGTGTGTGAAATGAATATTTACAAATCATCACGAAAACCACGATAAAAGAACGTAAATAAAGTAAAAAAAGATGGCTTAGTTGATGTTTATCAGTCAATTCCAGATACCTGAAGTAGTGAATGGAAGATTTTTTGCAGGGGGGAGTAGGAAAACTTTCTCCTAAGCCCAAGCAGAATATTCCATTTTGAAACATGCTTCTTAAATGAGAGCTTATCTCACCTATAGTTCTTACAGAATGATGTTCTCCTTCACTTTTGTGGGTTTGGTTTTTTTTTTCCAGTGATAACTTGTAGCCCTTAATGAAGGATACAGAATATGAATTGGAAAAAATATTTCCTTTTTGATTTTTATACATTTTTTCACTGTTGTTTTCCTTTAACTTTGAGGAAAGCTGATAAGTATAGCCTGTAAAATGCCTTTGGATTCATCAGTTTAGATATAGCTAGACAAACCCTTTTATCCTAGTGTTCCAGTTTTGCCCTATTAACTCTGAACAGGATCCACATATTTTATAATTAATGACTTCCAACTGATCCCAACTGTTTCCATCATCCCATTCATTTCCCAGCCTTTCTGTTCTCTTTACCTCACATTTTTCCTTTTTCTTTTTTCTGTGTTGTTCAGCTGTAGCCTTTTGCTCCAACCATTTTTCCCCTCTGATTCAGTACATATATACTACGCACCTATCAAAGATCCCAGAACACTCTGCAGAACTTACTATGTTTACGTAGTTTTACCTATGACTATAAGTGCTGTTCATTATCTCCACTTTGCACAGAGGCTAATCAACTTGACCAACAGCACACAAGAAATTTGTTGCAGAGCTGGAAACAAATACT